GATTGATTTTCTCATTTGGTGGGCACTGACCTTGAGTTTTGGAGTTGTAGTTCATCTACATCCAGAGAGCACCGTGGACTCAATCAATGATAGATCTGGACCAAACTTGGCACGAATACTCAATATGCCAAATATATGCACAGTGATGTAGTTTGGGGATAATTTACCTTGGCATTTTGGAGTTGCTGGGATTTATAGTTCACCAACAATCAAAAGAGCATTCTGAATCCCACCAATGATAACATTGGTCCAAACTTCCTATACAGAACCCCCCATGACCAACAGAAAATACTGTGTTTCCTGATGGTCTTTGGTGACCCCTCTCACGACCCCTCCAGGGGTCCCGACCCCCAAGTTGAGAAACACTGCCAAAGAAGGATTTTTTTCCCGAAGTTTGCATGTTTTGGATAGAGATTTGAACCTGAAGTCAGCCTCATAACCATCGCGTCACACCAGCTTAATGTTTATTCTTTCTTGCATTGCTTCAATCTTATTTCCTTTATTAATCTTTATTATGGTAATAATTTGCAGCTGTAATCAACATAACACACAAGCGAAGTAAAGGGAAAAAAAGCAACAGAAACCAAAAATACAGAAAAGGAAGAATGAAAAAAGTTAATAGAGCAGAAATGAGAGACTCAAATGTACATTTAACTTCCAACCTTTCTCATGGCAATAATGCACAACTCTATAATGTGGCTTCTACACATGTAAACACGGAGTACAAATAAACCCGTGCACTATCCGCTCTGTAATAAGATGTTGGCAAACCGTCTTATCATTTTTCCTTCCTGCAGCATGTGTTGATGAATGGTGTTATTTATTCTTCCGTCCCCGCTCTCCTGCCATAAGCCAGCTTGATTCCTCCCTGATCAATTTAATTAAAAACATCATAGGTGAGAGTAGAGCTGGGATTTCAGCTTACGGGGCAACATCAGTGTCTCTTAGATTTGCAAATTAGCATTAGCTCCCCTTGACGACCTTGCAATAGTGCATTCGCTTGCCCGCCTGCCATCCGTGGTGCTCTGCACCTGTTCCTTCTTTGAGACCTGTGGCTGAACAGAGGTGCTCTAAAGATGCATATGTGCATTTTGGAGCACAACTCCGACTAGGAACTGGCATATTATTCAAGCTCGGCACTCCTGGAGTGACACGGAAAACAGTCTCTTTCTCTCAAGGTAATTTAAAACACCTCTGTAGTATATGACAGAGTCTATAACAGCCAGAGTTATGAAATCTTTTTACAATCTGATTGGCACACAGAGACCCCCCGGATACGTTGATGTGTAATCATTCTCATTGAGGTCAAATCTTGTTTGTCAAAGACATCATTGTAAATATATTTATCGGTGCAATAAAACATCAGAAGCTTAGAGCTGCAATACTCTGAGACTCAATTGTTGTCGTGACCTCAGAAGACAGCTAACTTTTTATGTTGTGTGGGATTTTCCGAGTCTCTTCTGGTCTCTGTTATTAGATGCTTTACCTTTGCTCAAACAATTGGTCCAAAATATCAGGTATAATGATTCCAAGGCCCTGATCCACTCAATCTTCAAGTCAGGCTTGAAGAGCTGTCACAATGAAGCATAGTCACATGTGTATTAAAACAATGGTTTATTGATGATGTCGTGATATCAAATACATTGGAACAAAGGAGGTCTATTCTTAGGCATGTCACTCCTGCATCAGAGGGATTTTCTGACCACCTGTTACCTGATTACTTTTTTCAAGTGGGATATGCTAGGAAATTAACTTTATACATGTAAAACTGCTGTATAAAAAGAAAAATGGGTGATACGTAGATTTTTGAATTGTGTTGTTCCTCTTGCTTTCCAGCCCCAGGCCCCCCAGTGCGATTGGTCTTCCCCGAAGTGAGACTGATGTCTGTCCGTATCGTTTGGCAACCGCCTGAAGAGCCAAATGGAATTATTCTTGGTAAGTTTGTTTAAAAGCCTAAGAAATGCTTCCTCTTCATCCTAGAAAGAAGTGACAAGTGGAGTGCCACAAGCAGGGTTCCGTCCTGGGCCCAGTCCTGTTCAACATCTTTATTAATGACTTAGATGAAGGAAAAGAAGGCAGGATCATCAAGTTTGCAGACGACACCAAATTGGGAGGGATAGCCAATACTCCAGAGGACAGGAGCAGGATTCAAAACCATCTTCACAGATTAGAGAGATGATTGGCCAAAACTAACAAAATGAAGTTCAACAGGGACAAATGCAAGATACTCCACTTAGGCAGAAAAAACGAAATGCAAAGAGACAGAATGGGGGACACTTGGCTTGAGAGCAGTACATGTGAAAAAGACCTTGGAGTCCTCGTAGACAACAAGTTAAACATGAGCCAACAATGTGATGTGGCGGCAAAAAAAGCCAATGGGATTTTGGCCTGCATCAATAGGAGCATCGTGTCTAGATGTAGGGAAGTCATGCTCCCCATGCTCTATTCTGCCTTGGTTAGCCTGAAGAAGAGAAGGCTGAGAGGAGATATGATAGCCATGTAAAAATCTGTGAGAAGCCACAGGGAGGAGGGAGCAAGCTTGTTTTCTGCTTCCTTGGAGACTAGGACGCGGAGCAATGGCTTCAAACTACAAGAAAGGAGATTCCATCTGAACATGAGGAAGAACATGCTGACTGTGAGAGCCGTTCAGCAGTGGAACTCTCTGCCCCAGAGTGTGGTGGAGGATCCTTCTTTGGAAGCTTTTAAACAGAGGCTGGATGGCCATCTGTCAGGGGTGATTTGAATGCAATATTCCTGCTTCTTGGCAGAATGGGGTTGGACTGGATGGCCCATGAGGTCTCTTCCAACTCTTTGATTCTATGATCCAAAAAGTGGACCAACTTCTTCCCCACTCCCCAATGTTCTTTTTTTATTAAAAAAAATGGGAAACTATAATGGCAAGAAACCATACTAATGAGAACCTATGCATTCAGGACCTTTCCCCCAAGATATCAGTTAACATTTGGATGCAGACATTTCCATCCACCAAGAGCTCGGATATAGTAAATGTTGATGCATTCTTTTCTTTGACTGGTCTCAAACTGCCATCCCACACAGACGTACTGGAAAACGACAGATGATGTATAACAAAAGCCATGCAGATGGCAATTTTTAAAATTAATTTTTATGTAGACAAATTAAAACAAAACCTACATACAAATATACAAACAACAAAACAATCAAAAACAAAGTAAAAAAAATACTTGTTCTAGAATAAAAGAAAACATATGACAACCACACTCAAAGCATCAGAAAACACTAACTATACACAATCGACATTAGTTAATTTAAGGGCTTTACATTGTTGCACTCCAGCACTGAAACACCTTTTCACCCAGCACCACACCAGAGTCCAGGAGTATTATCTACAAATGTTTATTAAAGAAAGCATGTACAAAGGGAAAACGGAATTTCCCCAAAGGGCAGCAAAGTAGAGAATACAAAATAGTAGCAATCCAAAAATGACAAAGTACATGAAGGCCAGAGAGCCCAAATCCACAGCAGTAATTCAAACTTAAATCCATAAGCAGGAAAACAGAATCATGGACTTGAGAGATGAGACGGGAAAACCATCCTTATGGCAATGTTGTCTGCTCTGAGAGTTGTAAAGTCAACACCACTTAATTTAAGCCTGACCAAGTAGCCATGAGTTCATGCCAAATGCATCTGGGCTTCAAGGTCTTCTCGTGGATTTTCTCATAACGTCGAATTAGTCTATTTTTCACTCCCTCCATTCTGAAACCTAATCTGGCTTCTCAGGAAAACTCCCCTGGTCCAAAAAAGGACTAGAAGGTCCCAACTTCAAAAACATCAGCGCTGCCAGCCAGGGAAAAATCAATCCAGTTTGGCTCAACAATGCCATTCAGGAGACTGAAAAATCTGAAGCGGGAAACAAAATCTCATTGCTCTTTTTCATATAGTTTCAAGAACACGGACTTCTTTTCCACAAACAAACCCTGTGTTTGAATATTTACTTGACAATAAGCAGGCACACTGCAGAGTTCCCTTTACGATAATGTAAGTATCTCAAGGGCAAAGAATAAACCCACAGAGCAGTGGTTCTCAACCTTCCTAATGCCGTGACCCCTTAATTCAGTTCCTCATGTTGTGGTGACCCCCAACCATAACATTTTCAGCTACTTCATAACTGAAATTGTGCCACTGTTATGAATCGTAATGTAAATATCTTATATGCAGGATGTATTTTCATTCACTGGACCAAATGTGGCACAAATACCCGATACACCCAAATTTGAATACTGGTGGGGTTGGTGGGGATTGATTTTCTCATTTGGTGGGCACTGACCTTGAGTTTTGGAGTTGTAGTTCA